GGAAAGAGATTAAAAAGAGCCAAAACCGCCCGTGCCAGCCCTCTCAAGAACCCCCTGGGAACCCTGCCACTGCTGCTCGGGCTGAGCGTGCAGCGGGTCTGGCACTCTGAGGCATCTGGGCGCCGCCCGCCTCCGCCCCGCCCCCTTGCCCTCGGGTTGTCCAATCCCAAGGTCTTCATGTAAATGAAGCCCCTAGAAAGGGCCTATGCGAGAGCGGCAGGGGCGTGGCCTTCGTCCACCTTCCAGGCAACGTTCTGATTCATTGTTAAAATAGAAAGGCTGTGACCCCTGGCACCTCACCCCAGCATCCCCTTGTGTGTGGAAACCCGAGCCGAGGTTAGTACCGCGAGCAGAAAGGTTGAGAGGGAGGAAAGGCTAGGGGGAAGAGGTAGAGGGCTGAGGGACACGAGGAGGGACTGACTAGCTGGATGGAGGGAGGTCCAGGGGTCCATTCCCCGGGTGGGGCATGCATGTCCGCTGAAGGTTTTTCATTGTTATATCCACACCTAAAGTGCATTTTAGAGAAGGATTCTGCCCATTGGTTGGGGGTTGGGGGGGAAGCGGGAGCAGTGAGGGGCATGTGTATAAGAGCACCCCACACCCGCCCACAGGGGATTAAGCTGCTTCCTCAGTCCGAGGCATTGCTCCTTTATGTGACGGGATTGGGAAGGAACCACCCAGGCTGGGCAGAACGATGCCTACCCTCTGCACTACTGGGAACAGGGAACGACGCAGGGAGATAACAGCTCGGGGAGAATTGGAGACCCTGGGGCCACTGAAGTGCCAGTGGTGCCCCCAACCTCCACCGTGCCCTGCCACTTCCTCAGGTCTGATGGTGAAGGAGCCAGGAATCTTCTCCCTGGTTGCCCCAGGGGAGGATGTGAAATTCCCCAGCTCTCCCCCAAGATTGGCAACTAAGGCCAGATCCCCTGCGACGCTTTGGAGGAAACTCTACAGGTATGAGCAGATGACCTGGGGGCACAGTAAGGTGCATGTGTGTTTGGGGATATGGATTCCTCTCACCCCACCCCGCTTGCTGGGGTGAGGAGAGCATCTTCAAGTCACTCTTCTGACGGGGCTCTCCCGCCCCGCCAGGGCATGGGGTTGGAGCCCTCAGTGGCGCCCAGAGGAAGAGCCCTGTGCTCAACACAACACCAGGGGCCCTCTTTGGCTGAGCTCTGCCGGACTTGCAGTGTGACCTTATGTTGTTCACTTTCATCCATGATTTTGTCCTCAGTTCTGAAAATACCTGGCTGGCCACTTGCCTCACTCTCAGGGTTTCCCAAGGGACCTGTGTGAGTTGGCAGTGTGATCCAGTGTCCCTCACGCCCACCTCTGAGAGGATGGGGAGGCACAAAGACTGGGTTTGAATCCAGTTCAGCCACTGGGCCTTTGAACAAGTTATGGAATCTCTGTGAGACTTAGTTGCCTCATCTGAAATTAGCATTAATTTTATCTACAGAGCAGGATAACTGTAAGGCAAGGGTACTCAAACTTTGGAGTGCATTGGAATCGCCTAGGAGACATGTATAAAATGCATTGTATAAATGCCTTGTATAAGTGCCTCACCTCCAGAGATTCTGGCTGGGTGGATCAGGGAAGGAACTGGGAATATGCATTTTATGAGCAGTTCAGCTGAGTCTAATGCAGGGTCCTCAAAATACACTTTGAGCAACACTGCAGTAATGACTAGAAATCACATGTCAAATGTTTGGCAGAGTGCCTGGTGCTTAGGAGGTGCTTAATGAGTGTTTGTTGAGTGAATAAGTGAACAGGTAAAAGAATTGATGGATAACCTCACTTCCTTGGTACTTGGCTGTCTGGGGGCAAGCTGGGGCTGGAGTCCGGGTGGGCTGCCAGCTAGTCAGCTAGTCTTTGCCTCCCCGCAACCCCTAATTCTTCCCAGGCCCCACCATCGGATTGCAGGAGCTGCCCTGGCCTGATTCAACTGATATGGAGGGGGTGGCTGGGAATGCCCCCTGTGACTACTTTGAAGCTAATGTGCTTGCCCAGAGATGCTGTCCAAACTGCTTCCACCCTGAGGAGGCCCACAGAGCAAGGCATCAGGTGGGCAGGCTTTCCTGAGTGGTGGTTTGGGACAGGGGAGTCTGTGATGGGGGTGCCTGGCTGGGCCACTAACTTGCAGCTGACCTCAGACACTGATCTTCCTTGTGGTCAGAGCCTCAGTTTTCCCAGTCTGTACAATGAGGTGGTGGGACCATGTTAATGCTTCCCAAATGCCAGTTATTCTCCTCCTGCTCTTACGATTTTTTTGCCAAGCCTCACATAACCTATTACTTACTGTACTGTCCATTAAATCAATACGCATTTTTTCACTTATATTAAAACAAAACTTTACATCACTACCACGAATAGAAAACTAGAATCATATTCTTTATATAGAAGGTTCAAAGGAAAGAATAAAAGAGGAAAAAAAAAAACAACCCAGAAATGTCACTAAATTCTAACTAGAGAGTGTTGTCAGCTAAAGGTTTTGAGCCTGAGCCCTGCTGTCTCTCGGTTAAAAAGGGAGATTGGTAGGTGTTAGCCATTAAAGATATACACATCCACTGGAGACTTTCTCCTTGAAGGTACTGAAGGAGTGAAAGGGGAGGCATTTTCTCACTTTGTGATGGATGAGGTTTCAGGTTAAGCCCTGGTCCAAGTAAACCCAGAGCTGAGAAGCACGGGACTGTGAATCTCCAAGGGCGCTGCAGCCTTGACCCCGTCATGGCTCTGTCATTCTCAGTGAGACTTGAGGCTCCCCTTGAGCCTGGCTGCCATCTCCGTGCAGGCATTAGCCTCTAAGAGGTGACCATTATAAGGGAGTTGCTGTTCAACTTTGGAGCCAAGCAGACCAGAGTTCCAGTCCTAGGTTTGCCATTTACCCGCTGTGTGACCTTGGGTCATTGACTGCTCTGGTTTCACTCTCCTAATGGGTAAAGTGGGGCAACAAGTCTTCTCACCCAGGGCATCTGGCCCTGCTTAGCCCCGGTCACATGTGGCTAATTCGATACACATTCGTTTCCTTTCTTCCTCCTTCCTGACCAGAAAAATAAACCTGGGAGATGCTTTTCTACCTGTCCTGATACCTCCAAAAACAGCTCCCCTACCCTCACCCCCAAGTTCAGAGAGCAGTTGCCTGAAATCCCTTTGAGTCCATCTCCCATGCAAATGACCTTCTCCCAATGGGTGGGGAGATGGCAAGCCTGGAACAGGAGGAGAAGCTTGGATTCAGACAGGTCTGAGTTCTAGTCTCAGTCCCACCACTTCCCAGCTGAGACCCTGGGCCTGCTTATGTGTTCACATATATTGAATCGGTGCTTAAAATGTGCCAGGCATTATGCTAGATATTGGGGAAACAGTGACAAATAGAACAGACACAGTTCCTGGTTCATGGGCTTGTAGTCTAGCAAGAGAAATGGAGACTAAGAAAGTAATCATGCAAATAATTTTTTAATCATGGTTGTGATAAATGTTGTAAAGGAACAGCAAGTGGCATGAGGGTAAATGATAGGGCATTCGGGGAATGTTTCTCCAAGGAAATGATACTTTAGCTGCTTGGTAAGGGCTATGAGGGCATCGCCAGTGAAGTTGGGGTAAAAGGAGAGGAAGGGAACAGTAAGTGCAAAGCCCCTGAGGCAGAAAGGAGGAGGCACACTGGAGGGTGGAGAGAAGCCAAGGATGGAGAATGGGGTGGGGGCTGGGTCTCACTGGCCTGTGGGGACTTGTGGACATGCTGAGAACCTTGGACTTTTTCCTGAGAGGCCTGGGGAGCCACTAAAGATTTTAAACAGGGGAGTGATGTGATCAGATTTGCATTTTCAAAAGTCACTCTGACTGCAGGACAGAGAAGGGACAGCAGGGAGTGAGAGTGAACAAGGTGACCCATGAGGAAAAAGTGCAATTACTCATATCAGAGGTGACAGAGACTTTTTTTTTAATTAACTAATTTTATTTTGTCTGCACTGGGTCTTCATTGCAGCACGCGGGCTTCTCTAGTTGTGGCGCGCGGGCTTAGTTGCGGTATGTGGGATTTTAGTTCCCCGACCAGGGATTGAACCCAGGCCCCCTGCATTGGGAGCATGGAGTCTTAACCACTGGAGCACCAGGGAAGTCCCTGATGCTGGAGATTTTGAGTTGGAGACAAATGGACACATTTCAGAGCTAACTGAATAGGAGAATCTAAAGGATTTGGTAAATGAGTGACGTGGAGAGGCTGGAACATGGCTGACTGCTGTGTTATTTTCTGAGGCAGGGTTCTTGGAATGGGAGGCCTGTTTGGAGTTGTTTGGGGTGGTGAGTGGGAGGTGCCTGGGGGACACACTGGAGATGAGAGGAGTTTACTTAATATGAGGAGCTCAGGAGCCCGACCTCTGCAGGAGATAGAGGCTTTCAAGTCATCAGGATATGGCGCTGATGAAAGTCCTGCTCATGGACGAACAGTTTCAAACACGTAGAGTCCCCAAATCTGTGTGTTAAAAAAGCATCCCCCAGCCAGATCCTTAATTACACTCCAGCACACACTCATCCCTGAGGGGCCTGATAAAGGTATCACTTGGGGCTAGAGCGAGTTCTGACATCTTCACCTATGTTAGAAAATGCAGGGACTTCCCTGGTGGCGCAGTGGTTAAGAATCCGCCTGCCAATGCAGGGGACATGGGTTCGAGCCCTGGTCCGGGTAGATCCCACATGCCGTGGAGCAACTAAGCCCATGAGCCACAACTACTGAGCCCATGTGCCACAACTACTGAAGCCTGTGCGCCTAGAGCCCGCGCTCCACAAGAGAAGCCACTGCAATGAGAAGCCTGTGCACTGCATTGAAGAGTAGCCCCTGCTCACTGAAACTAGAGAAAGCCCGCGCGCAGTAACGAAGACCCAATGCAGCCAAAAATAAATAAATTTATTAAAAAAAAAAAGAAAATGCAGAAAGGGCCCCAGGTCACAGAGCAAACCTTTCCCAGAACCTTGCTCCAGCTCCCCTATGATCCTGGGCTCTGGATGCATCTCTGCTCTGCTCTCAGCTGAGTCTCCCAGGCTGGGAGGTGTGAGGAGGGTTTATCCCTGGAAATCACACAGCCTAGACCAGGTCATGGCCAGGTTCTGGATGGAGGGGGGAGGGTCTTGCTGTATGCCAGGCCCCACACATTCCTTTTCAATGCATCTACTATTGACTTAACACTAATAAAATTCTATTGAATGTTTTTACATTATTTATTATATTTAAGATGTACAGACCTGGCGGCGTTCTAAGCCCTTCTACTCATATTAACTCATTTAAGTCTCATAACACCCCTAGAGAGTGGGTCCATTAATCACCTGCATTTTGTAGATGAGGAAACCGGGCTCAGATAGGGAAGTCACTGGGCTGAGGTCACCCAGCTGGGAAGTGGAGGCGCCAGGATTGGGCCTGATGACTGTCTGAGGCCAGAGCCCGTGCTGACCCGCCAGACAGGAAATCAGAGCTGGGGATTAGTTGCTGGGCCTACACGTGTGGATGGTGGGTAGTGATGGGGGCTGGAGGTGAAAGCAGGGAGGAGGTACCACGACAGGCTGGGGCTCCTGCTGGGCCCAGCTGGGCTGGGACCCCTTGATGATGCCCAGAGTGCCGCTCCCTCCTCATTCATGCGGCAAGGTCCCCAGGGTAGCCAAGGCGCCAGGCCGGGCTGCAGATCTGACACCTCCCGCTATGGAGCACTGATCAGAATCTGGCTCCCGGGCAGGGGGCGAAACTGAATCCAGAAGGGCCTTCCTTCTCTGGCTTGGATGGCGCGGCAGACACCCCAGCCCCACTCCTTGGCACTGCCCAGGTCCCAGAGTGGCGGCCTTCTTGGAACTCGGAGACTCTGGCCCACCTCAGGGCTGCGGCCAGGCTGTGGCCTCCGCCCCGGTTCTGGGCTCCAAGGTCCCCAGGGAGCCCGTGCCCAGGCCCCGCCCGGCCCTGCTCTCAGGTGAGCCGCGAGGATCGGGTTCCTGCGGTTTCATGTCCTGCATTGTTCTTGGCTGGGCCCCGGCTTATGAAACAGTAATGAGGGGCCCCTGCTCCCGCAGCCGGCCCCTCTAAGGTTTCCACTGCCTCGGCTGCCGCCACCTCGGCCCAGAGTCGGGGCCTGGGAGGGCAGCAGCGTGGGGGCCTGAGTTGGAGCCCCCCGGGGACGAGGGTGCTGACAGCCGCCAGCCGCCACTGCCGGAGCCCGCCGCCCAGGTAATCCGAGAGGAGGCGGGGTGCAGGGTGCCGTGGCCGCTGTCCCCCTCACCAGGGGGAGGGCCCTGCCACCCTGGGAGGTGGGGAGGAATGGGGGGGCCTTCCCGGAGGCGAGCAGCCGTTCCCCCGGGTGAGCCCAGTACCAGCCTTCGCAGGTGTGGCCCTGCTCAGGGCAGGAGGGAGAGAGAAACCCTCAGTCAGCTCAGGGGCCCTGACCCCAACCCCTGGAGCCTTGACCTTCCAGCCCTGGAGCCCCCTGGCCCTCCTTTAGGAGCGCACATCTCTCCTTTTCTCCAAGGTCTTCCTCCCCATCTCCTCCTCCCTCAGACTACCTCTTCCTGCCTCAGACATTTTCCTTCATTCTCCGGGCTAGCTTAATCCTCCCTCTCCCTCCTCATCCTTGAGTTCTGGCAACAGAAGACACTTTTGGATCCTTTCGTGCACTTCACATCCTTGGGCACAGACTCATACATATGTGCCGACACACACGTGCTTGCTTGTGTACACAAGTCAGTTGGGTATGCTAATGCGTGTGTTTATAAACACATATAAATAAACATACATGCACTTATGCAAACACGCATCAGTGTACCCACCAGACATGCATACACATGCGTGCACATGCGCATACTTGCACACACGCAGGAATTTATACGAACACATACCTGTAGACATGTGCGCATGCACATAACCTGTACCTCTGCCAGCCCCCAACTTGGGTCCCAAGGAGCACTTCCAGTCTGATGGACAGCTCTCCCTGAGAAGTGGAGATCCCAGGAGGAGCTGTCTGGAGACTCTTCCACACCACCTGGTGGGGGGAGGGGCTGCACAGGGGGAGGGGAGCCCCCACGTGGGCGATGAGCTGCTTCCTCTCCGACTCTGTCTCAGGAGCCCGGGAGCCCTCCAAGTGCTGAGGCGCCCTACTGCGACCTGCCGCGCCGCCCAGCCACCCCTGAGGACCCGCTCGGTGCCTCGACCTCCAACTGCCAGTCTGTGGTGGGTTCGGGCCTTGGGCCAGGGCCTGAGAGGTGGGTAGAACCCTGGGGCCTGAGGAGGGGTTCCCGGGGTTGGATGCCCTCACCCATCCCACCCCACACCCCTTCATGATGGCAGCCTCCGTCTGTGATGGCTGCTGGCGTGGGTCACGTGGTCAGTCCACTCGGCCTGGGTACAGGCAGCAGTGGGCATGTTCCATGGGCCCTAGCTCAGGGGATGGAGCAGCGTGCACCCACCCTGCAGTGGGCATGGCCCACAGCCCACTCACATTTCCTGGTTCCCTTTGCACTGCTTTAAAAGATTAAACAGTCTCAGCACCCAGGGGCGCTTTTTATCACCCACCTACCTGACCATGCACTGCCCCTAGGCTCTGGAATTCCCTCCACCCCGGGGCCTGAGTTGGACCGAAGTCCCTCTTTGGGGTCATGGTGCCTTGGGAGGGCATGGCTGAAGGTCTAGAGACCTGGGTTCCAGCTTCAGCTCCTTCCCTGATGGGCTGTGGGACCTTGGGCAAGTTATTCCCTCTTTTTATACCTCAGTTTCCCTGTTTAAAAAAGAAGAGGGATTGAATCAAGTCAGCATTGTTTTGCGAACATGTGTTCCTCATAGGTGGCATTATTTTAAAAAAAACAAAAAACAGCTCTGCCATCAAATATGTTTCAGAAAGTCTGGTATAAACAAATTGGAATATTGTTTTTGCAGGACTTGTCAGAGCTTTCAGTTTGCTAGCATGCACTGTGCTCTTGGGTGGGGAAGGTAGGAGAAGAGTGTAATATGTCTCACACTTATTTGACCACAGACCTCTTTTAAGGATTATCACTCATTTCTGTCTCATAGGCCAATTTGTGGGTCACTCGTTTTTTTTTTTTAATTTTAGAATTTTATTTATTTTTTATACAGCAGGTTCTTATTAGTTATCCATTTTATACATATTAGTGTATATACGTCAATCCCAGTCTCCCAGTTTATCACACCTCCCCACCACTTTCCCCCCTTGGTGTCCATTGTGGGTCACTTTTTGGGGATACTGCCAGCTCTAACCTACTGGCTTCTTTAAAGCAGGGCTTTCTCTATAGCTCCCTCCCTTGGCATCCAGACCGGTGGCCCTGTCACTGCCCCTGGAGCCCTGCTCTCTCTCAAAGCCCCCTATTCGCCCAGCATGATTCTGTCTTAGTCTTACCAAGCTTGGGGTCCTCTCTCCTGCTCCAGTAACATGGTGGGGGTTGAGGCCACAGCCCTGGTTCACAGTGCATCTCTGCCTTTTCCTAGCTCTGTGACCTTGGCCAATCCCTTGACCTCTCTGAGCCTCAGTTTCTTCATCTGTAAAATGGGAATCTTTACACTCACTTCGAAGGGAGGCTGTTGGAGCTAAACAAGGCAGCCCACGTGAAGGGCAGAGCACAGGCAGCCCTCGGTGTTAGCTCCCTCCTCCACTCAAAAGTGAGGTGTGTGTGCACCTGGGTGGTGGTGGGGTGTTACTCCTTAATTCCCATCACTTTGAGGGAAAAAGTCATGGGTCTGTCTCCTCTCCCAGGGGCCCATCAGTAGGGCTCCCTGCAGAGGGCCTCACAGCCACCCCCAGGAGCCAGGAACCCGAGGCAGCACCCTACCTGGAGGGCCTGGCCTCCTCCCTGTGCGGCAGCTTCAAGGAGAGCCCTGACTCTGGCACCAGCTCCAGCCCTGACTGCGAAGCCCCTGATGGTACCAGCGACTCGTCTTCCGTGGTGAGAGGGGGGCGGGAGGCCAGGGCAAGAGCAGGTGTCTGCCCCTGGGCCAGCCCTGGGGTCCCACGCAAACCCCTAGATGGGGCTGAGCCTCTCATAACAGGGAACGGAGCCGAGGTCCTCTGGAGCCTTAGCCAGCATGTTGGGCTGCCCCAGACCATGCACCTGGGAGGGACCGGGGGCTCTGCAGGGCCAGCCCAGGGGGCTGAGGGCTGGCTATGAAAAGATGGAGGCAGGTGTTTCAGTTGACAGGGAGCTCCCTGTGCATCATCAACGGGCTCCAGCTGCCAAAAACTCTCAGTTCACGGAGGGCTGGGATGTTGGGTGTTGTATCCAGATCAAGAGTGGGACTGGGGGCTTCCCTGGTGGCGCAGTGGTTGGGAGTCCGCCTGCCGATGCAGGGGACGCGGGTTCGTGCCCTGGTCTGGGAAGATCCCACATGCCGCGGAGCGGCTGGACCCATGAGCCGTGGCCACTGAGCCTGCGCGTCCGGAGCCTGTGCTCCGCAATGGGAGAGGCCACAACAGTGAGAGGCCCGTGTACTGCAAAAAAAAAA